ATAAAAGCACAACAATCAATATATACCAAATAACAGTCACTTCAGTAACTTAGAGAAATGTGCATTAGTGCAATATTGTCCATAGCAGCTTAAAAAGTGTATGGGGCTGGATGTGAGTGTCTGAGTGAGTGGTGTTAAAGTCCATGTCCAGTGGGGGCAGGGGGGAGAGAGTTCAGCCTCCTGACAGCCTGGTGTAAAAAAGTGTTCTTTAGTTGGGTGGTGCTCGACCTCAGGCTGCGGAACCTCCTCCCTGAAGGCAGGAGGGTGAAGAGGCAGGTGGAGGGATGGGTGGGGTCACCAGCGATGCTGAGTGCTCTGCAGGTGATGTGGGTGTGGTAGAGGTCCAGGAGTGATGGGAGTGAGGCCCCGATGATCCTCTCAGCTGTGTTCACGACGCGCTGCAGGGTCTTGCGGTTGGATGCTGTGCAGCTTCTGAACCACACGGTGATGCAGCTGCTGAGGATGCTCTCGATGGCGGCTCGGTAGAAGGAGAGCATGATGGGGGAAGCTCCTGCTCTCTGAATGCGTTGCATAGGCTAGATTATTACAACAGAACAGAGATCAACAACATATAACGGGGCCTATGCACAGTATGCAACTATTTTAAGACTCATTTTTGTTTAAGAGAATAAGCATGTCTACCTGCTCAGGGGAGAGGCAGGTGCGGAGGCCAGCTGTAGAGAAGACCCTCTCAGCTGGAACGGAGTTTGCGGGTATAGCCAGGTATTCCTTCGCCAGGACACTGAGTTTTCTGTTGGGTGGGATGCACGGCCCACTGAAATAGAGTTCCACTTCATTGTGGTCTGGGTCTTCAGTGAAGTAGTCCTCCCCAAACAGGGTGTTTAAACACATGGCCCTGACTGGTTCTGGCTGTCTGACTGTGGCCGTGCTGGGGCCCTCAGCCTGGAGCCCATGGCCACCAGCAGCAGCAGCACTGGTCCTCCTGTCGGGCGCTCGCTTATACATTTCAGACGATCTCCGAGCAGAGAGTTTGCGCTACAAAACACAGGTGTTTGTGTCGGGGATCCAGCGATGGATAAGATAAGATATTTAATTAATCCATTTGATAATATGTAATCAACTCAGGCACCCCTCCCATAAAAAAATAAACTCTTATTCCAATACCTGAATCATTACGAATATTCGATTAATCATTCCCATCCCTAGCCCATACTGTGTTCCCTTTAGTGTTTACTTCCTGTCGGTCTTCTTCTGCTGTTCCCTTTAGTGTTTACTTCCTGTCGGTCTTCTTCTGCTGTTCCCTTTAGTGTTTACTTCCTGTCGGTCTTCTTCTGCTGTTCCTTTTAATGTTTACTTTCTGTCTGTCTTCTTCTTCTGACGTCCTCTATCTCTTACCCTCTTACCCTCTTTCCTTTTCTTGTGCTCTTTCTCTTTTCTTTTCTGGGGACAGTCTAGCCATCGTCAATCCACAGTTTGGTGCTCTTCACAAATATAATAATGAATATTCCAAAAGTATTCCATAATGTTTTCTGATGGAGGAAACTAATGTTTGTTTTCCACAGCTGACGTTAAACAGACCAGACTCCTTTATGTGGATATGACTGCACATCCTTGATCAGAGAGTCTTCTTTAGCAATGGTCTGCTAGACACAAATAACAGACCTCTGGAATGTTTTACATTCACCAATCAGCTTTGAGTATTCAACTAATCTGTGTAATACACTTAGATAAGATTGACTGGAGAAAAAAATCTAATCCAAATTGCATTGATAATCTACACTTTTCCCTTAACTGTAATGCAACCTTTAATAGCAGGAACATACTTGTGATATGACTTGATCAAAATGTAAGATGATATGAAGTCTCAGGTCAGGATATGGACTCATGCTAATCCTAACCCTGCCCCGAACACATCATTAGGCTCTGGGAACCGGTGTAGGACATTGTCAATAAGTGGTTCATTCAAATATGTGGAAACATAGAGCTAGGTGTAACATATCGGATCCAATGTTCAATATAATACTATTTTAACTAAATAAAGAGACAACAAATATCCTTTCAACTGATGCTTCATTTTGCAACCAATTGTTATTTTTCAGTGTTTCTCTTTGTATATGTTTGCTAAATAAATGAATACAAATAATAAGTTGTTTTCTTAGAATGCATGTCTCACCAGCAACAAACTGTGTGCAGAAGTTTTAAATCAGTCAATGTTCCACCGAACAGACTTCTCATAGATTGCAAAATGTATTCCTTTTGCATCAAGAAGCAGAGAAGTGGTACTATGAAGAGGTCATTTGCACGTGCTGCTATGTGACTATTGCTCATGCACACATTGCAATGTGGATGCTGAAACAAAAAGCATCATTTCCTGCTCACTAGTGGAAAATGTACTTCCTGTTAGCTGTTTTAAGAGTTCAGTTGCTGTTGAACCAACCTGTTGGTTTTAACATGTTCCTTTCCTTCTCTCTCTGTGTGTCAGAGGTCCATCCATCACATAGAAGAAAGGACAGTCGTCCCCTCCTGCAACTCGTCCTTGTCTTCTCGCTTGAATCTTGAACCAGCAGCGCCCCCTTCAGGCGAAAAGAGCAGCTGCCACAGCTCGGACGAGAGCGATGAGGAGGAGAGTGTGACGGAGACGCCACGGGGGCGCAGAGGAGGAGGGTGGTATCAAGTGAGAGGAGGCTCTAACCCTCTCTCTTCCTCCTCTTCATCCTCTGGGTCTGCTCCTTTATCCCCACAGCCCCTGCCAGGGCAAACAGTCCGCTATAATACCTCCCCTCCAGCAGAGACATGTACCAGTGCTGGACTACATCCTGGCCCCCCCAGCCCCACAGACACACACTGCTCCACCATAGGGACGAAGGTGCAGGGAGGGGGGGGGCAGCCAGGAAGTGAATCTCCTCACATTGACTTTCGGCAGCCACGGGGAGGGGGAGGAAAAGAAATCACATTTTGACACAGTAGAAGTGGAGCCAGAGGTGGAGGCACAAGCTGCGGACAACAGGGAGGTTGCCATAGAAACTGTTTCCTGCCCTCGTGATGAAGATGAGGAGGAGGAGGATGAGCAGTCTGGGTATACGCGGCGGTGATGGTCCTGGGGTTTCCCAACAGGAAGTAACTGGGTTTCATTTATTTGTATAATTTCATAATGTGTTAGCAGCGGTGTAACTGCAGGTCAGGCAGCAGCAGACTCTGAGGCTGAGAGCAGCTATCATCCCCTCCTCTGGGTTTTCCCTTTTTTTAATTCATTGTTTGAATCGGTCAGGTGCCTTCAAGCGACCACAAAAAAATCAATAACAACAGTACTGTTTGTGCACGAGGCGCGTCTCTTGATAAAGCTTTGTGTAAACTGCAGTGCCTCCTCTGCAGCTGAAAGGCAGAGGAGGCACTGCTCACTGTCACGAGTTGATATCTGTCTGTTATTTTAGTGCTGTCACGTTACAGATATATTGATGCTGCAAATGTTGGATCATGTATCATGATTTCACATTAGCGGTTTCCTTCCAGGGCATGATTCCAGGATTTCTCCCCTGGAACATTTGGTTGTGTATTTAATGCAAGATCCAAGCGTCAGTAGCAATGTGCTGAGCATCGCTGGTTGCTTCTGTTTGAAAGTGCTTCCTTTCTGCAGGGTGCCAAAACTGGGACATGGCCTGGAGAAAAGTCGCCATGTCACAACTTAAGTAGGAATCTTTCGACGTCAATGCCTTTCAATCAAAGAATGAGGAATACTTTTAAATGGAGGTTATTGTGTACATGTTGAGCTCATCCTCTCTGTGAGCTAAATAACAAATGAGAGAGAGACGGTTTTTCAAAACATTTCATCCATTGTATTGTACTCAAGATCAGGGATTGATGATGAGAACGTCTGAATTTAACTCGCACTGAGAACAACTTGTAAAAACGGCTAGATAGTATTTAGCAAAAAAAGGTCCACATGATGGTTACTGTATATCTTTGGGTTTTTGTTTTTTATGTATGCATTCTCTTCAGCTCTTAACTCTGAACCTGTGAACAATGAGACTAAAGATGACACTATTAAAGCGGCCCTATTCTTCTTTTTAGGGTTTTCCCTTTCCTGTAGTGTGTTATTAGTGCGTGGTGTGTTTGTGCACGTTAATGGTCTGCAAAGGCTACAATTGCGGTGAAAAGAGGTGCTGCAGCACAGGCAGTATGACAAAGAGAAAGAGCTTTTTGAACATTAAAGCATGAAATACATACATGTCACAAATAAGAATCTGAAAAGAGCATAACAGGGCCTCTTTAATGCCGCTTTATCTAAATGAAAACAAATGGATCAATCAATTTAAAACCATTTGGAAATAATTGTCAGGTGAATAATGAAAACAGCTGTTTTGCACACAATGGAATTTTTAGCATCTGTGAAACTCCAGTTAGTCAAACTGGTTCTCAGTGAGAGGACAGGAGAAATTTGAGCAGGAACATGTTTCATCACGTTTCTGTTACATGTATGAACTCTGAGCCGGGCATCTGATGATCATGTTTAGTTATGACCGGTGATATTAGTGAATGAATGTGACACACTAACAACTGTAAAATATTCTGTTTTTATTTTGCCATATTTTATTTTTCTGTGCAAATACAGTCATATTAACATTGCGCTTGTTTTAAGTTACACATTGTGTTTAGGTATTACATGCAAGTTATTGTATTTAAACACAAATAATCGAACAAATTCCATATGTTACATTCTTGTATTTTTATATCTTGCCCTATTCAAAAAAACGTATTCATGCTCAAACCTGTACATTTCACATAAATAAAGTCACAGTTTCAATAGCATGCCGAGTTTTCTTGTTTGTATTCTCCCAGTAAAAGTGTCATTTCTTCAGGAGAAAGATCAAAAAGCGGACAAAAGAAAGTTCAAAGTAACTCCGGATCAGACAGCAGGTTCTGACTCCGGTGTGAGACAGAGCGCTCACACTCACTGCATGATTAGAAGAGAACACACAGGGAGGGACTTCTGGGGAAATAGAAACTCAACTGTTCTCATAATAACACCGTGTATGTTTCCCAACCCCCACGCATACCCCCCTCCCTCCCATCCCTCTATATGTTGTGCTCTCTAACCCTAACCAGCCTTATCTGCCTTTACCTGCGAGCCATACCACGTCCATGGAGCACGATGAAGCTGTGGATGATGCTTCTGATTCTGCTGCTACACCTTGGTAATGCTCCCTGGATGACAGGTGGGGAGGAATATGGGGTTATAAATCAGGTTAATGTGTGTGTGTGTGTTTTTGTTTTTAAATCAGCTGCCTGTCTTTGTTTGTACACCTTTGGACTGACCTATGTGTGCATGTATGATGGCAGGATCAATGAACGCATGACATTCTGTTAAACATATTTGTCGTGGTGTGAAGTAACATCTTGTACTTGAGTATTTCAATGTTTTGCTGCTTTGTTCTTCTACCCCACTCCAATTCAGAGGTAAATGGTGTACTTTTGCTCCACTACATTTATATTTTATATTTTGTATTTGTATATATATTTGTATATTTTATATTTTAATACCTTTAGTTACTTTACAGATGTGGATGAATGATGTGAAATATAATCAAGTGTTAAATCAGACTTTAGTTCCACCTGGAGTAAATCCACAAGCTACCCTGCAGTATACAAAGTCATTCAAACTAGCTGCACCTTTACCAGCTTTGAGAACACTTTCATGATCAATCATTATAAAACATATCATATATATTATTCTGCATAATGAGTACTTTTACTTTTGGTACTTTAAGTATATTTTGAACAGGAAATGTTTGTGTTGTGTGTGCAGAATGTAGATTCAGCCCTGTTTGGTTCAAAGTGTCACTGTCCCTTTAAATCCGGGTTGATTTCCTGTCCTCCTGCAGTGGTGTGTGTGTCCCTCCCCGCTCCTTCCAAAGTCTCCATCTCCTCCCTCAACATGGAGCACACTCTCAGCTTCCTGCCGGGCCCCGGGACCCCCCCAGACGCCCGCTTCACTGTCCAGGTCCTCCGCCTCAGGTATTCAGTCGCTGGGCAACATAACGAGACAGTGAGACAGACTCAGCAACAATATACTCAACACCAGTGGTGTAATGTAACTAAGTACATTTACTTAAATACAGTACTTAAGTAGAAAATTAGGTACTTCAAATTATGCTACTTTATACTTTTACTCCACAACATTTTGTTGTCAAATGTTGTACTTTTTACTCCACTTGACTTTATTTGACATATTTAGTTACTTTGCAGATTAAGGTTTATAAAAAATATAAATAGACTACCCAGCAGTGTATACAGTCATTCAATTAAACCCCACCCTCACCACGTACAGCATTGAAGCGATGAACACATTAATGAACCAATAATTACAATTATTACAAAATATCGGGGCTAACTGTGCCTTTCTGCATTAAAAAAAATCGTTTTTCTTTTGGTACTTAAAGTATATTTTAATTTTTTTTTAAACTCAGGTACAAATTTGAATGCACTTAGTACTTGGTGGAGAAACCCTTGTTGGACACACAGAGGTCAGACGCTTCTTGTAGTTGATCTCCAGGTTTGTGCACATCTCAGGAGGGATGTTGGTCCACTCCTCTCTGAAGATCCTCTCCAAATCCTGAAGGTGTTGAGGCTGATGCTTGGCCTCTGGAAGCTTCAGCTCCCTCCACAGATTTTCTATGGGATTAAGGTCCGGAGACTGGCTAGGCCCCTCCATCACCTAAATGTGCTTCTTCTTTAGCCACTCCTGTTACCTTGGCCGTATGTTCAGGGTCATTGTCCTGCTGGAAGACCCATCTATGACCCATTTTCAGTGTCTGAGGAAAGGAGGCTATCGGCCAAGATGTTACAGTACATGGCCCCGTCCATCCTCTCCTCGATGCAGGGAAGTCCTCCTGTCCCCTTAGTGGAGAAACACCCCAAAGCATAATGTTTCCACCTCCATGCTGACGGTGGGGATGGTGTTCTGGGGTTATAGTCAGCATCTCTCTTCCTCCAAACACGGTGTGTCGAGTTGATGCCAAAGATCTTGATTTTGGTCTCATCTGACTACGTCGCCTTCTCCCAAGCCTTCTCTGAATCATTCAGATGTTCATTGTCAAACTTCAGACGGGCTTTCATGTAATTCTTGAGCAGGGGGGGGGGGGGGGCTTCAGCCGCTGCAGGATTTGATCCATTATAGTGTAGTGTGATACCAATAGTTTTCTTGGTGCCTGTGGTCCCAGCTGCCTTGAGATCAGTAACAAGTTCCTCCTGTGTAGTTCTGGGCTGATACCTCACCTTTCTCATGATCATCAATACCCCACGGGGCCAGATCTTGTGTGGAGCCCCAGACCGAGAGCGACTGATGCTCATTTTCTTTTTCTTCCATTCCCGAATAATCACACCAACAGTTGTCTCCTTCTCACCAAGCTGCTTTCTGATGGTTTTGTAGCGGATCCCAGCCTTGTGGAGGTCGACAGTCCCTGAGGTCCTTAGACAGTTCTTTAGTCTTGCCCATGGTGGAGAGGTTGGAATCTGATTGGTTGATTCTGTGGACAGGTGTCTTTTATACAGGTAACAAAGTTGATATGAGGAGTACTTTCTTAAAGGAAGAAGACTTATGTAACCGGTCTGTGGGAGCCAGAATTCTTGTTTGTTGCAAGGGGATCAAATACTTATTTCACACAATTAAATGCAAATTAATTTATATCTCTTATATGATCTACATTTCTGGACATTTTGATATGTTGTCTCTCATTAGTCAAATAAACCTACCATTACAATTATAGACTGTTCATTTCTTGGTAAACTTACAAAATCGGCAAGTGATCAAATAATTATTTCCTCGACTGTGTGTTGCCTTCAACCACTGTAGATGTTTAAGGTTGTGCTCATTTGCCCTTATATACAGATGGGTAGTTGAATCTACAGTAATGCATCATATTCGATCTAATCATGTTGGTAGCTTTGTTGCTGTCCTTTGTATTTTTTAAAGTAAACCTTTCTTGAGTTTCTGTTCTCAGCTTTGTGACAATGCTTTCTCCAGCTGATCTCTTTCAGCTGAATTTATCGCAAAGATTGAAACAGAAAGGTTTTGAACAATGTAGTGGAGTATAAAGTACAATATCTCCCTCAGGAACCTAAGTATTGAAGTTGTACTAAGTTTCATTCTACTTTTGAATAAAAGTTTCATTTTTGTTTCTTTTGAACCTTCCTAACTCTTTGACACAGCACTTTCCTTTTTCAGTAACTGTGTACTTGTAGCAATAACATAACAAGTGTGAGTTCCATCATGTATCAGGATGACTCATGCAGTGTTTGTTATCTGTGCTAAGTATAATACTCATTACTCATTACACTGTGCTGAAAGTCATGTTTTACGATGATACATTATCGGCCCCCTCTTCGTGCTGCAGATAGCTATAACAAGCTTTCCCCTCTGGGGCCACTCATTTAAAAGAAGCCCGTTCGCCACTTGAGTTTTAAAAATGTCGCCCATTTTCCAAGATGGCCGCCATTTCAAGCCAAGTGAAACAGTATTTTACCACAGAGTTTGTCAAACACCAACTATAATCTTATTTCCATGTTTAAAAGACATACCATATATTCTATTAAATCTAATATACTTTTTGAATATAATATATATATAAATTATCTATTATCTGCTGCACTATCTTTCTCTCCCTCTGGAGGAAGAGCCAGTGGAGACTGCTGGCAGCGTGCACACAGCTGACGGCCGGACAGAAGTGTAACCTAACCCGAGCCTTCAAGGACCGCTATGAACAATACCAAGCCCGAATCCAGGCCTTCACCCTCAGCCAGACATCCAACTGGACTGTGTCGGAGAAGTTCCTGCCTCTGACAGACAGTGAGACACACTCACATTCATACTGAAGATTTAAAGTTACACACAATCAAACAAAAAGTCCTGAGTTGTTCTGACTGCAAGGTAGACATGATAACCTGATGGGTCCAGATAAAGATATGAAGTGCACATTAGCTTTCTATTTATTGGAAATGTAGTGTCCAACATGTGAATGCAGGACATCTTTGCTTCAGTATTTTTACTTTATGATTATTTGACCTGCCATGAATCTCCCAGCAGTAGACTGACAGTAAGTGAGGTTCATGTCTCCGCAGCGGTGCTGGGACCTCCGGATGTGTCTCTGTCCGGCTGTGGGGACTGTTTGCTTCTGCGGCTCGGAGCTCCTATAGCAATGGAGTTCAGTCCAACATACAGAGTCCATGTGCAAAGGACCAGGGATGGTGTACAGGTAAGAGGTGAACGTAGCCTCCGGGTCTAAAAATATCAATCTCAAAGAACTATCTCAATTGCTAGTTTAAAGTCTTGTTTAGCCCAATTTGGTAGAAAGACGATAAAGCAGCATATGCTAACGATATAAAGGTGTAGCAGTCTTTAATCTCTCCCCAGCTCCACTCATTTGCCTAAATATGGTCTTCTGGATCCTAATACCAAATGTAAGGTGTTTATATGCCAAATGTAAAGCACTGCCTAGCAAAATGATGGCCCCTCCCACTTTCAGTTAAAAACAAAGAATTGAAAGTAAAAGGAAAGATCTGTGTCTTTAGGACCTCGACGAAAAGCATAGGAAATGAGACACAGTCAGTCAATACATGTTATGCTACGCTAATCGCATGCTATGATGTTAACGCCATTCATCAAAGTAAACAGTTGTAATACAAAAAAGTGGTAACTGTAGAAGCTGCATTGAAATATATAAACCACTGACAAGCCAAATACATTCCAGTTAAGTGTTAGCCTGCTGCCTGACACTATGGATTTTAATGTAACTATATATCAACGCTGATCATGTGTCCCCACTCCCCAGTGACATTATGTTATCGTCTGACTGACCATGCTATTTGGGCTGGTTGTAGATATTTCAAAAAGCCCACTTATCTTCATTTTTGATGTGATTAGCGAAAACCTAAGAATCTTTAGTAACCACCAGTCAAATGACAGGGAATGTTATCATCAAAAAGGGGCGGGCCATGACGTAGAGGAACAGTACCCTGATCTGTTGTTCTCGTGCAGCATTCAGATGTCTTGTTCACACATTGTAGAAGAGGACCCACACTAGACTAAGAGTTGGTTTCCCACAGGATATAGAATGTTGCTTCTCGCCCCCGAGCGTGGCTTTGGTGGCAGATTAGTTTTTTTGTTTTGGGTCTACATGCTTGTATAGCACAATTCATATAGCATAGAATGGGTATTGGGCATTCAAAAGTAAAAAAAAAAAATAGTGCAAGGAGAAATAGACATATAATAGTGGAAGACAATGGTGCAAGGGACACAGTGGTGAAAAGTCAAATAATTGTTCCCTTTCTTCTATATGTAAAGATTCCCATGCTTTTACTGCCAACAATGCTGGCTTACTTTTACGATTGATGAATAGTAATCTTGAAAGATGTTTTCAGAACAAGTAGCCAGCATTTGCTAATTCTTATGCTATATAGACTTTCAAAAATGTTCTTGATTGTCTTTATAAGCTGTATTATCAAATATGTTTTGCGGCTCCAGACAAACCTTAATTGGTGTCAAAGGGGGAACAATGGATGTTTGATGATAAAGGTTGCTGACTCCTGTTTTAGGAAGATGGCCCAAATAAAGCTAAAGTGCAAAAAAGCTAGCATATTAATCCAATCCAATCCACTTTATTTCTCTAGCACATTTAAAAACAACAGAGTTGAACAAAGTGCTATAGTGTACATCATCAACTGTATAAAAACATAGCATAAATACACTGAACAAAAATATAAATGCAACACTTTTGTTTTTGCTCCCATTTTTCATGAGATGAACTCAAAGATCTAAAACATGTTCTATATACACAAAATAACCATTTCTCTCAAATATTGTTCACAAATCTGAAAAAATCTGTGATAGTGAGCACTTCTCCTTTGCCGAGATAATCCATCCCACCTCACAGGTGTGGCATAACAAGATGCTGATTAGACAGCATGATTATTGCACAGGTGTGCCTTAGAATGGCCACAATAAAAGGCCACTCTGAAACGTGCAGTTTTGCTTTATTGGGGGGGTCTGGGGGGGTCCGAAAACCAGTCAGTATCTGGTGTGAGGGTTAGGGTTAGGGTTAGGGTTAGGGTAATGTTGTGAATCGAGTGGCCCATGGTGGTGGTGGGGTTATGGTATGGGCAGGCGTATGTTATGGACGACGAACACAGGCCACTTGATTCACAACATTACCCTAACCCTAACCCTACCCCTAACCCTACAAACAAATAAATAAACACAAGGATAATTGTGTTATTGTTGAGTAAATAACAGTGTGTGGTTTAGAAAAGAATACAAAATTAGAAGGAAAAAACTATGAAACAATACAGATTTCAGTATTCTGAGCTCCACTCTCCCCATAACTGACGGCAACAAAAGTCCTACATTATTTAATTAACATAAAGAAGTAAAAACAATAAGTGTGGCTTGATATTGAGTAAGAAAAAGGTTGATAAACGCTGTGAGAATGGATCTGCCGAGAGCGTTTCGCCGCGATCCCAACTCGTCTATTACTAACGTTCAGGGAGCTCTATGCAAGTCAATGGGACGCCCTGCCCGTTGAAAACTGACTCTCAAGGGGTACCCTGTGCGTAATAGAGTGCCGGGGAGGGGCCCTGACCGACCGTCAACATGTGACGGGTTGGGAGTGAGAACGTGTTGCTACATGACTTAAAAACAATACAAAACACTAGTAAGATAAGAACCCAAATTTAAAAGCACAAGTGTCACCTGATCTGTAAATGCCAGGGAAAAGAAGTGGGTTTTTAAACGAGATTTAAAAACAGGCAGAGTTGGAGGAGCAAGTCTAACCTGGAGGGGTTATCGTTCCATAATTTTGGAGTTGCAACAGCAAAGGCTCTGTCTCCTCGCTGCTTTAACCTTGATTTAGGGACGACCAGAAGTAATCTGTCAGCAGACCTATCAACAGAGATTATGGATCATTTTGCCCCTGTGCCATGCATGTTTACACCTCTTATTTCAGGCTGCACGTGCTCAGATTATATGAAACTCAGAGTGCTATGAAAGGCCGTCAGGATAATGAGTGAGACAGTGTGCAGGCGTTTCTCTGGCTCGTGTTTTTCATCCTTTGTGGCTTCACCCACGTCTTCCTCACACCGGCTCATGTTTGTCTTTATTTAGGTCAAAACAACTAGTGAAGCAATTTATATATGACATTCAGCAGACATGGGTAGCCTTTTATTTTCTTTAATCAAGCATATGACTAAAAACAACGAGTGGCCATACGGTAGAATCACAGATTTGTTTTCACTCATCAGTGATTCAACCTGTTTTTGCTTCTTTGCATTTCCTGTACTAACATCTGGTGTGTGGCAGCTCTTTCTTGGGAAAGAAATACTTTGACACAGGAAGTGACGCACTGTATATAGACTTTACCACATCCACTGACACATATCTGGAATTGTACTTCGCAGAAATGTATAGTTACGATGAGCTTGTACAATTTTATTTGTATTGTTGTTTTTTATATGTATTTTTTGATGTCTTGTAAATCACAGTGTTGAGGAAACTGCTATCTAAGTTTTGCATACCTTACATAATCACACCGTAGGTGTATATGTTAAGGCAATACATCTTTGAATATTGAAATATTGAAACAGTGACAGCTGAATAGAAAAAGAAGTAAAAAGCGCCACCTACAGAGACAGTTCTCTTTTAGTAACTCTTCCAACTGACAGCATAAATAGGCCACAAAAGAACATAAACAGAAGAAAATGTACAAATCACAATTGAATACATTTCTTTGAATACAAAATGGTGGCAGCATATTCTTGCCACAAAATCATGAATATGGTTATTTTTTTGTTATGTTTTACTTAAAAACTGATATATTGGATATATAAATCCTTGACAATAACTGCAAGTTGCATAGGGGCCAGACTATATAAAACAAACATACTGTGGGCCGTCGTATATCTCAGTTGGTAGTGCTGACGGCCCACCTACTGGGGCTTGGTCCCTAAGTGAAGGACCCAAGTTTGAATTACGGGACCATCGCTCTGACTCCCCCTTTTATAGCTGTCACTCAAATAAAGGCACCCAAAAAAAAACATACAGTACTTAAAAGTGAAGATGTTCCATTTCTAACCCTGTGTGTGTGTGTGTGTGTGTGTGTGTGTGTGTGTGTGTGTGTGTGTGTGTGTGTGTGTGTGTGTGTGTGTGTGTGTGTGTGTGTGTGTGTGTGTGTGTGTGTGTGTGTGTGTGTGTGTGTGTGTGTGTGTGTGTGTGTGTGTGTGTGTGTGTGTGTGTGTGTGTGTGTGTGTGTGTGTGTGTGTGTGTGTGTGTGTGTGTGTGTGTGTGTGTGTGTGTGTGTGTGTGTGTGTGTGTGTGTGTGTGTGTGTGTGTGTGTGTGTGTGTGTGTGTGTGTGTGTGTGTGTGTGTGTGTGTGTGTGTGTGTGTGTGTGTGTGTGTGTGTGTGTGTGTGTGTGTGTGTGTGTGTGTGTGTGTGTGTGTGTGTGTGTGTGTGTGTGTGTGTGTGTGTGTGTGTGTGTGTGTGTGTGTGTGTGTGTGCAGTTCAATCTGAGCCTGCCTTACAAAGAGGAGACAGTGATCACCTACCTGCAGCCAGGTGTGGAGTACTGTGTGACCGTCTCCATCTGGTCCGTCTTCAACAAAAACACCGTCTCCAGTGCTCCTCACTGTGCCTTCACCAGTCCCCCCCCCTCCAGGATCTCATGTACGTAGCCTCATTCTCTCAAACAGACACACAATAGAACGGTACAGGTAATCCTCAAACCCAGAAAGGAGTTGGCGTGTTACTAACGTTTTTGGTTGGAATGCCTAAAATAAGGACTGTGGTTAACACAAGCTGAAGAAATTTGAACATTTTGTTCTACATAAAATATGTCAGTAAACTTTCCACTGGTGAATGTCTGAAGCTTCTATTTGTCATAAAAAATGGCTGTTGCTAACAAGCGACTAAATAAACGTGTATCACGCAGAACATTAGCCGCCTTTAGCTCACCGATGATGCATACAACCGTGATGATGTTCATTTATAGCACCGATGTCCCTCCCGCCCCTTATTGGTCCCTGAGGAGGCCTCTGCTCAGGTGCTGTGGGTGTGTACAAACTGCTTGATTGACATCTCCCTTTCTCTCATATTGTAACACCTCTAAAGGCCAGACAGGAAGTACTCACATCTGTTATGTTAGTAACATTAGTAACACTTCACTGTGTTATACACTCAAAAATATGAAACATTTATCTTTAATTAAATGTATTTGTCAACAGGTTCCACGTATATGTATTAAGTTAAAAGATTACATTAAAACAATTATTAAGTTCATCTTACTTAATGAACTTGTTTAACAGGAACACAATTGTCAAATATTACTGACCTTAAATAGTACATACTCAGAGGCAACATATGTTATGCTAGTCCCTTCAACATCTTATTTGTAGTAGTAAAATAATATATTTGAGTTAAAGAAACATTATATTTTCATCCAATTTATTTTTTACTAATTACTTTAACATGTTTGTAGTTTGTCAACCGGTTCCACACAAATTAATTTGTTTGTAAACCCTAACATTTTGGTGCATTTACAATAAGTAAAAAAACATTTCTTGCACAAAAAATATTCGAGTGCACTTCCAAAAAAATAAATAATCCAATCTCATCAACAGATCTGACACAAATTGGTAAAAGCGTCAACACATAAACAATCTGGAGGGAGAAACTAGGGACCTCCCTAGTTTTTTGCAGAACAATAACATCAGACACAGGCCTCTGACTCTTGGAACAGCTAGGAAATTAGGGATACACAATGTATCTGCTTACATTTTCTCTCAAAGAGTATAGGGTTTGTATGAATGGAAAGTCCTACATTCGAAATCTTACATTATTACAATTTTATAAAAGTAGTAGCAAAATACAAGAAGTAAAAATACTTGTGCAGAACTTTCAGAAACTGAACTTTATATCCTCAGATATGAGATCTATTAAAAGTGGGAAGTGAATGGTTTGAATATGCCAGTGTTCCTCTCCAGTGTGTGTTACTACTGGTTAAAAGGCTGAAAGGGGAACTGAACTTGAGTGTTAACGGTTCCTCACAGAGATGTAAATGTGAAACACTTTGTAAATAAACACTTTATAGGCCCTGACACTCCAAACCAACATCAAAGATCTAGTTTCAACAGAGCCGACTGTGTTGCCTCTCATTACTGCGTCTTGGCCAAAAAGTCGCACCTGAGCACATCAGAAAGACGACAGCTAACAATCAGTCTGTATTCGGCATTTAAAAATACAAAGTGAAGGCCTAACAAGTGTAATACATCTTGATAGATGGCGGCTGGTGGAATTTTTTTCTAGGTAGGGCTGTGCCACATGCAATCAATTTCAGCAAACATCCCAGTATGACTTAATACAAAAAAAACTGGAGTTTTCCGTGTTCATTTACCAGTTTTACATTTTAATGCCTGCATAAACAATTTAATCATTTGAGACTGAGGACTATGTACAAAAACGTAAAAACAATGGCATTAGCAATAATTGCATACATATATGTATATATATATATGATGTATATATATATATGTGTATATATATATATATATTACAGAACAACGGTATAATCAACAGTAATACAAAAAGCTGAAGATGTAACAAACGAATAATGATTATTATTATTCTTAAAATCAATGTAGTGTACGTCGTCTTTGACGGGCCTTTAAAAACGGTGGCGGTCTTCAGGTGCTCCTCCAGCACAGTGTGCAGGGAGAAAACAAAATCCACCAATCCCCTGAAAATGCCAGGGTTGACTGAAGGGTCAGTCTCGTCATGCCCACGCAAAGCCAACTCAAAAGCCCCACAAAACGTCATTATTTTGGATAAAATGCCTGTTTTTATCCACCTCCTCATTGTGTTCACAATCTTGTGGCCGTCGTCCAGCTGCGTAGCAGCTGCTTACTTGGGGCGCTAAAATAATCGCCCCTTCGGTAATAGTTTTGAGGATGCTGATTGGCTACATTTTATGACATACATTCATATCTTGAATCAGCAATTGGCTAACCTGCTACAGAGACCCGCCTCTGTGGGGCGATTTCTCCATCGCCCCAGCACAGTACTTCAGTCATACAGTGTTACTAGGAAAAGCGTATATTTTGCACAAATTATTTTAAAATCATATTTTACACATATTTCTGGGTGCATTCCATATTTTAAACACAAAAATATTGACAATATATATAATTAATTAGTATTATTATTATTATTATTATTAATGTGTGCAACATCTGTGGCTGTTCTCTAGGATTCTCAACTGAATGTGCTGAATTTGCTAAATGTTCGTGCAATTTGAAGGCTTCTAATCTAATCTTTCCACAGGTCATGTGATTTGTGATACAAAATAAATCCCAAATTGGGATCAATAAAGTATATTTTATATAACGAGAAGTGTACAATATTTAGAAGAGATATTCAGTGTGTGAGCATGATACATGTTGCTGTTCTACCGTTCACAGATGTTGTGATGCTCGGCCTGCTGGCTGCAGTCTGTGCTCTGGGGCTGCTGCTCATTCTGCTGCACTTCTACGGTCTGCAGGGATTTAAAGTACTGAGAAAATGCCTATCTACAACTCTGGTAACAGAACAATCCCATGTTCATCTTGGCTTTAAATTTTTCACTCAAAAAAGTTCTAGAAGTTTATCAAGTGTATTTTATGTGTTGTCCTCAGTTATCTAGATCTGTATGATGAATTGATTCCCAAAGAAGCTCAAACTTTGATTATTAATGTTCAGATAAAGCATTTGATTAGGAAATGAATCGATGTCAAACAAAATAATATTATCAACAACAATGACAATGCTAACATTTGGGGTTTAGCAAGTAAATGTTAATTATCTTAGTTTAGCATGCTAGCATTATCTCTAACCACAAAGTACAGCAGAGGTTGATGGAAATATTTCTGGTGGAGCTGGAGGTAAAGTCAGAGTATCCACCCTCTCACCCTCCTTCATACTTGAGATATTTCAGTGTTGACCAAAGTGGTGCCTATGCCTGGCGACATGCAGCTAGCATCGCTAAGAACAACAATGTGCACAGCTGCTAGTTTCAGCTTTCCCATTGTAAGTGCTACAAATTCCTATGTAATACAATATACATAAATCTATTGAACCATTACACTTTCTGCATATTTTGACATGTTAGTAATCATTTAGGTACGTCACTGCTGGGTCACACCAGGCAGATAATAGCTGTGACGTCCATCTTAATCTTTAGGTGCCACCTGTTTTTGGAGTCGAGATATGTTTGGAATACAGGCAGATATGTGCTGAGAGTCAGTTTAATATGCAAAGCCAGGGGCTTTTGCCGAGCCTTTCATGGAAACTTCCATCAAGACATCAGTTCCAGTGTTCTAGCATCTCCTTTTTAATTTCCAGTCAACATCCAAAGGAAATTTCCATCACAATACTGTTAGGTTAATTGTTGGGATCTCTATCCAGATTTATAAGATGACTGTCAATATTCATCACGTATTTTTTATGTTCAAATAACCATTGGTGTAAAGTAATTTAGTAGATTTACTAAAGTACTGAACTTGAGTAAATACATGTTGAGGTACTTGTAATTTAGTATTTCCATTTGTTGCAACTTTATACTTCTACACCACTACAATTCAGAGGTCAATTGTATACTTTTACTCCACTACATTTATTTAATACCTTTAGTTACTTCGCAGAATTGTATTAATGATGTGAAATATAATCAACTCTTAAATCAGACTTTAGTTACACCTGGAGTAAATTCACAAGCTACCCTGCAGTATACAAAGTTACACCCCACACGTGCACTCCGCTCTGCATCAGCCAAACAGCTTGCTGCACCCTCGCTGCGAGGGGGACCCAAGTTCCCATCAGCAAAAACACGTGGATTTGCTATCCTGCCTCCAAAATGGTGGAATGAGCTCCCCATTGACATCAGGACAGCAGAAAGCTTACACACCTTCCGGCGCAGACTGAAAACTCATCTGAATGAGAAATCAAATGAAAAACAAAACATAAAAAAACAAAACAAAATAAAAAGCACTTGTATACTAACCAAGCACTTACATACTAACTAAGGAATTATATACTAACAAAGGACTGGCTTGTCTACTGTAAAGCCTGTTGAATAGCACTTCAAATGGTTTGGCTCTATGAAACCGAATGTACTTATATGATTCTATTTTCTTCAAGGTTGTATCTTCTTCGTCAAATGTACTTATTGTAAGTCGCTTTGGATAAAAGCGTCAGCTAAATGAAATGTAATGTAATTCAAACTAGCTGCACCTTTACTAGCTTTGATAACACTTTAATGATCAATAATTATAATCAAAACATATCATATACATTATAATTATCATCAATCAATCTGCAGATCTGGCATCAAAATATTCTTGAAGTACCAAAAGTACTTTTTAGGGGGGGAGGGAAGTACTTTTCTTATAATTTTGATGCTAATACTTTTGTACTTTTACTTATAACTTTTGTAGTTCTACTTTTAATTAAGTACAAGATCTGATTACTTCTCCCACCTGTATACAAACTCTGATGGCTCATATTAACAGATGGTGGTATTGTGGTAATTGGTTGAGCCACATGAACAACCCTCCTGAGACTCTGGCACTGTGAGCAGCATGTAACTGTCTCTGTCTGTCTTATCTCCACTCATACATCCTTCTGCCATACCAGTGTGGCGGGGGTGTGTCCATTGAACAGTCAGCTCAGATGTCTGCTGTGCAGCACCTCAAAGAAGGCTCTGCTGACTGCCTCCTTACTGCACAGAGGCTCCTGAGGAACACCTCTGATGGGGAGAGGAAATCCATGGAGAGGACAGTGAAATCTAATGTGTAAAGGTGACATGTTGGGGAGGGACAGGACGTAGAGCATGTCTAGGTTGATGGGATTTAGCTAAATGTTTTTTAGAAAGAAAAAGTCTATGTTCTACTATCACAGTGAGATATTTTTGTAAATTGTTATAATCCTGTTTATATGCCAATATTTCAAATTTTCCTGGTGGATGAAGTTATGTCACTTGTATAACCCAGAGAATAACTAGCTGGTGTAGGGACGATCGTGTTGCATGGAACTCCATCTGAGATCCAGTTGTGTAAAAAAGGGCACAAGAGATAGTTTATTATGCATTACTTTGAGTATTAATCCTGTAGTATACACATGTACTGTACTGTAAAGTAGTATCTTTGCTTTGCTTAATCCTGTTGTCTTCCTTATTATATTTTTCTCAAAAGTAGCTTTGTATCAACCATTACTGTGATTACATTAAAGAAATTATGAATGTCTACTGGATCCTGTTTTAAGTATAGCTAAAATCCCTGTGTGTACAAGGGAAATCGAATCTTATTGTATTCATATAGCCCAATATCACAAAACACATTTGTCTAAAGGGGCTTTACAGATCCTGTGATATTCATGTTGAGTCTTTCATGTCCAATCACAACATGGAAACATTACAGATCCCTTATGGGCATGGGCCCAACCAAAATAATAACGCTAGTTATCAGGAATGTTTTTTTCCCCCATGTACTTCTACAATTGGTCTAACCCCGCCCCTGTGTACAGTTGCACACGTCACGCTGACAGGGTTTGTGTTCCTTGAAGTCGCACGCGGTTCTGAGCAGGAAGGAGTTTCGTTTCCCCGGACTTCCCCGCCCCTTGTCAGTAAACGCAACCAGGAAATACAGCATTTAAAATGAGACTCTCTCACACACACACTGCTCTGCTGGACTACATTATACACTGACTGAAGAGTTTTTTTGGACAACATGTCAGCCGCTGTTTGCGTCTTTATCCTGTCAGCAGTGTGCGGACACACAGGTAACATCATTCATCTGTCAATCATTCAGCTGAGGGCGCGCGGGTTGTTGCTTATGGTTATTACTCTTAGGGTTTTCAGCAGGAACTTTGACCCTAGTATCTCAAATATCTTAGAGCTGGCCTGTTATTATAAAAGTATTTAAAATAAGTATTTTATTGAATGATATCTATCATGAAGTATTTTCAATGGAATTCACTTTAACTATATTGGTGTGTGTGTGTGTGTGTGTGTGTGTGTGTGTGTGTGTGTGTGTGTGTGTGTGTGTGTGTGTGTGTGTGTGTGTGTGTGTGTGTGTGTGTGTGTGTGTGTGTGTGTGTGTGTGTGTGTGTGTGTGTGTGTGTGTGTGTGTGTGTGTGTGTGTGTGTGTGTGTGTGTGTGTGTGTGTGTGTGTGTGTGTGTGTGTGTGTGTGTGTGTGTGTGTGTGTGTGTGTGTGTGTGTGTGTGTGTGTGTGTGTGTGTGTGTGTGTGTGTGTGTGTGTGTGTGTGTGTGTGTGTGTGTGTGTGTGTGTGTGTGTGTGTGTGTGTGTGTGTGTGTACTTAGTGTTACAAGGGTGACACCAGGACAATGACCAGAAGTGGGGGAAGTACTCAGATCTTGTACTTAATTAAAAGTAATACAAGTACAATAAAAGTGTAGGAATACTCTGTTACAAGTACAAGTCAAATAAAAGTAAAAAAGTATCCGCATCAAAATATACTTAAAGCACCTAAAGTAGTCATTGTGCAGATTGGTCCATTTCAGAATAATATCTATGATATGTTTAATAATGATTGATCATGAAAGTGTTCTCAAAGCTGGTAAAGGTGCAGCTAGTTTGAATGACTTTGTATACTGCAGGGTAGCTGGTGGATTTACTCCAGGTGGAACTAAAGTCTGATTTTACACTTGATTAGATTTCACATCATTAATGAAATTCTGCTTACTTGAATACATGATGATATATAGACAGCAGCACAGTTAAAACATGTTTTGCTCCTTTTGATTGTATAGTGAAATGAAAAGCAAACTGTGATAATACTAACGGTGTACGTGTGGACTGTGCAGTGGTGTCAGGAGGCCTCAGCAGACCCACTAAGGTCCGCCTGACCTCTCAGGACATGAACCTGGTCCTGAGCTGGGACTCGCCTGCAGGACCAGCCGGTCTGCTCTACACAGCGGAGTACAAGTGAGTCAGCCGCAGGGGGTGAAGTAACTTAGTACATTTACTCAGTTACTGTACTGAAGTACAATTTTAAAGGGACTTTATTTGAGTATTTACATTTTTGCTACTTTGTCTTTTTTACCAGGTAAATGATGTACTTTGACTCCACTACATGTATTTAGTACCCTGCACATTTGGATCTTATATTAACAATTATTAGATGCCATATTTGTCTATAAAATATCAGAAAAATAATTGTCACAAAATATAGTGGTGGAATGTAAAGTGTATTTACTATAGTATCGTACTTAAGTACAATTTGTAGGTACTTATACTACTGAGTATTTTTATTTTACACTACTTTATACTGTACTCCACTACATTTATCTGACAGCTTTAGTTACTTATATGATTCTGTTTTCTTCAAGTTTGTATCTTCTTTGTCGAATGCACTTATTGTAAGTCGCTTTGGATAAAAGCGTCAGCTTAATGAAATGTAATGTTACTTGTAATTTAAGAGTAAGATTATTAGCTAATAACAAATTGAAATCAACTCATACAGTAAATTACATGTTATAATAGGTTAGATGCCGTTTGATGCTTATACTTTTGTACTTGTATTCCAGTAAGATTTTGAATGCAGGACTTGTACTTGTACTTGAGTATTTCTAATATGTAGTATTGCTACTTTTACTTAAGTATAATAAGTACTTATTCCACCTCTGCAAAAATGACATCACAAATTCTCAGTGCAAGAGACAAGGTGGTTTAAACTTTTAAATACATACAAAACTTCTTGATTCATCATTTCAGATTTTCACTTCTTATGAAACTGAGGGTCACTCAGCGGCACCCAGAGCTGGAGAAATATCCAGGGATGAGGGTCAGCATTTAATACATTTTAGAGAAATCACCTTCTTTTACTGTTTAATCTCTGGATTTGAAGAGCTGCATAAGGTATGTGAATGCTGGATTCAAACAACTGAGGCGTAATCAAGTTTGAGTTAGTCCATCAATACTTGGATTCCCATTATTCTAACAAAAACACTGCAGCTGTTGGTCAGGTAAATGTTATTTGCATTTGAACAGACTGTATCTGCTCCATCTTTCATGCTGGTGTGTTTCTCTGAATGCTGTGATCAGACGAGCAAAACAAAATGTTCATGTTTCATGCTGATTCATTGGTAAATGTTCTGGATGTCAGCCAATTCATCTTAATCGTAGGCAAAGTATTTGTTTTGGAAAATTGATGAATGTGGTGTGAGAGGTGGCTGGATTGATAATATCAGTTTTGTTTGTTTAGACTGAGGCTCTGGGTCTAACAGACAGATTGTAACAGGAGCATAATTTAACTGACAAACCCACAAAGCAAACACCACTCGCTGCACCCCCACCACTCCCCCTCCCCCCAACCATACCTGCTCCACAGAGAAACTGTGACCATAAGCCCTCCCTTTTTATATCAACAACAACATGAGCGCTGTTGCACTAAAGTACTGGGGTTACGTACTGTAACCCAGCTTCTATGAGTATAGGCGCAGCCCTCTAAGGCTATCACTACTGGGTAATCCCACTGCACGTGTGCAACACTGACAGACTTAATCCACGCCCACCTATGACGTGGGCCCCACCTCCGCCCTCACTTCCGTATAAATAGGAAGTAGGCCCGACCATCTGCTCCCACACAAACAGCTTTTCTTCAGCTATTCGCGGAGCCAGTGGGGCCCGAACCTTAGAGGGCTGCGCCTATACTCATAGAAGCTGGGTTACAGTACGTAACCCCAGTTATATTTCGTATAAGACTTCGCCTTCTAAGGCTATCGCTATTGGGTTAAGGGCGAAGCAGGATGTAGTCTACGCCCCACTGGTCCGTCCGTTACCAGAATCACAAAACACACACCTACTCAATTAATAACCCATGTCCATTTCGCCATGCGTAATGGAGCATCACATTCCCAGGGAATATAGCATTTAAAAAATGAATATTTTCCATCAGGGAACGAAGGTAGGCTAAATAGGCTACCTGTCGTTTAAAAAAGTAGAGACCAACATCTCACTTGATTAAAAACGATCAAAGAGGGGGGGAAAAGGGCAGCTCTCTATGTGCCGACAGGCAGGAGAGAGGGCACGCAGTTGAATCCCCGACATAACTGATTCTGGCAGGATATTCAGTACTGAATGTGTCAGAGACGAATGGGAGACATCCCTCAAATAAAAACAAATACAAGAACAGGGCGAAGACCAAGATGCAGCAATGCAAATGTCTTCCACTGACATTCCTCCGTGCAACGCCGTAGAGGTTGAAATTCCTCTGGTGCTGTGCGCTTTGATGTTCCCCGGGGGATCCAACCCAGAGGAGACATACGCCTGTGACACAGCCTCACACAGCCAGTGTGACAGGCGCTGTGCAGATAGAGGCTGCCCTATTGAGCGCTCTCTGTAATGCACAAACAGATGCTGGGACCTGCGTAAAGCCGCCGTGCGTGCAAAATAGCATGACAGCGCGCACGGGACAGAGGAGATGAGATCTGGTTTCTTCCTCTGATGTGTGAGGAGGAGGAAAGAAGCCATCCAAAGTTATCACTCTTGATCTAAAAGAGCTTGTGATAACCTTTGGCATAAAAGCCGGGTTAGGGCGCAAAACAGCTGAACTGCCATCTCCTTGGATCTGGAGACATGACGGAGCCACAGAGAGAGCAGACAAATCACTCACCCTTTTAGCTGATGTCAGAGCCAAGAGAAGAGCTACTTTGGCTGACAACAACTTCAGGTGAACCTGATCTAAAGTTTCAAAAGGAGCTTTACTCAGTGCACGCAGCACTACAGCCAAATCCCATTGAGGCGCTAAAGCGCGTGACACCGGTCTGAGTCTCTGTGCACCCCGTAGAAACCGTGTTGTCAGAGGGTGACTAAACACCATGCTGATCCCAAAACCTACGTGGCAAGATGAAATGGCAGCAGCATATGTTTTGACCGTGCTATAGGCCAAATTCCTGTCCAGCAACAGCTGGAGGAATGACTGCACTTGAGGCAGGGGGCACCTAACGGGGTCCAGGCTTTTCCCTACACACCAACGCTGGAACGCTGTCCATTTGGCTGTGTAAGACGCCCTGGTGGACGCGGCCCTTGATCCCTGAATGGTACTCACAACATCTTGAGAGAGGCCCAGCCCCTCTAAGTGTTCCCGTTCAGGGGCCATGCCCACAAACGTTGGCCTAACACTGGGTGACCGCTGATCGCTCCCTCCACCTGGGAGAGAGCATCCCGGCGCCACGGAATTTCCCACGGTCTCCCTGACAGCATCCGCTGTATGCATGGAAACCAGGACGCTCCCGTGCGCTCCGGGGCTATTAAGACCGCTATCAGACGCTCCTCCTGCACTCGGTCCAGGAACCGAGGAATCAGAGGTACTGGTGGGAAAGCGTATAATAACACCCTGGGCCAAGGTCTGTGTGCGAACGTGTCCACCCCCAGGGGGGGGGGGGTGATCCTGCATTCTCAGGGAGAACCAGAGAGCACATTGCGCGTTCCCGCGTGCAGCGAACAGATCCACCTCCGCTCTCCCGAACCTGCTCCACACCTGGGAGACCAGCTCGGGGTGGAGGCTCCAGTCCCCTTGTCGAGGACCTCCTCTGGACATGAGGTCTGCCCCTCTGTTCAACTCGCCGGGAATATACACCGCTCTGACAGAGAGTACGTGTGTGCGCCAGTGGCGGAGCTGGGGGGTGGCTGGGAGTGGCCAAAATGATCACTGGTTCCATCCTGGCCACCCCACTGAAAATGTCCTGGCTCCGCCACTGGTGTGCGCGCCCAGCACAACAGTCGCCTGGCTGTGTTTAGCAGCTGCGCTGATCGTACACCTCCCTGATGATTTATGTAAGCTGCCGCTGCCTTGTTGTCTGTTCGAATCAGCACATGATGAGTCCACAGCAACGGGGCGAAGTGCTGGATTACTCTCCATACGGAGAGTAATTCCAGCACGTTTATATGGAGGGACATACATGTATGTGAGGCGGCCACTGTCCCCCCACTGCCTGTGACATGCACGTTCCTCCCCACCCTGAGAGAGATGCGTCTGTGAACACCGAGGTGTGTGACGTCACCCTGCCGAGGGGAACCCCCACTGACAGGACGTGGAGATTTTTCCAGTAGGTCAGATCTAAACCCACGGACGGAGGAATGTACACCATGCGTCTCCTCTGACGCACGGGGTCGATGCGCAGGCGAATACAATTGGAAAATTGGTTGAAAATGGAGCAATCTACGGTTATTTCAATAGTGCACCATAGACATAATGTTATGAATGAGTGAGCTGCCTGTGGCAAGATGGCCGCCATGTGGCAACGTCGGTCTCCATTGGCCAGCAGCGCGGGTGAGTCATCTAGTGTTTATATATATCTATGGTCCCAATAGCTGAAATGCACACGGAGGAGTCGAGGAGGGGTGAGGGAGGAGGGGTGTGGGAGGAGATAGACGAAAGGGAGGATACACAAGAGCAGACTAAGCGGAAGTGTTTTCACTACTCGCGTATAAAAGCCCCGCCCCCACCTTCACAGCTGGTCCATTTCAACAGAGGAAAACCGACAACTGGAAGATGAGTGGAAAAGCGTCACATAAGTGCTCACAGCTCCGTGGGAATTATTATGTGCAATTCATTTCTAAAAGGCTTTCACATTACTATAATTATATTTTTATTTAAATGTAGGCTACATTTTACACCAAAACGGAACACAAAAGCAGGACCAACCATCATTGAATTCCTTGACTAACAAGAGAAAGATTCATTCATTTAAATAAATATTTAACCAGAAATGGGCCGGTTCTAAGGGGTTATTCAGTTAAGCCCGATGAGAGGGTGCACATGTCATCATCAACAGACGTCGTTTAAGAGTGACGTTTGAGTGAACGAGGACATCCCAATTAATACCTGAGGACTCCTCTGTCCTCGCGTCACCTCCTTGTGTCTCTCGCTCGCATCTTACGGAGGCGGAGCTAAGACGCAAGGAAGGGAAGCGACTGAGGGAAAGGAGGAGTCGAGGAGGGGTATTGGGATGAGGCTAGTGAGTTGAAAAATAAAAGATGGCGGCGACCAAAATTACAAAATCAAGGCTTAAAAACAGTAAGCTTGCTATAGACTGCCCATGTCATGGCCACAGTGAGGGTTATAACGGTTGAGGTCATGATCAGATATTTCTTTGACAGCAAGGCATACTGCTAGCTTTGTGGGAAGTTACACACAGAAACACAATGACAACTCACACACAGTAGGCTATCAAGCCCACAGCAGTGGATCATCATACCTGACATTTAAATCAACAATGACAAACCAATAATAACATCACTTTGTCCACAGATGCTCAGTGAATTCATACAGAGCGAGCTGTGTGAATATCTCCACCCTTGAATGTGACTTCACCCGCATTCCACAAGGCATATATCAGTTTGGAAAGTATACAGGCAGAGTGCGGGCGCAGTCGGGGACAGAGACCTCCGCCTGGGTGGAAAGTAACAACATTACCTTGGACAGAGAGAGTGAGTAGATGCATTCCGACATTTATCAGCAAGTACAGATTATCTGCAAAACATGTCATGCGAGAAACAATTTTAGGATGGATTATTATCGTTAATTGTCCATATAAAATACTGGATAGGAGGGCAGAAATGCAAACGAGAGATGGTTGCAGGTTAAATATACCCCTTTTCCACTGAAATGAGTCCAACCTCATAGCTGGGACTGCGGTCAACTCAGCCGTCTCTCAAATTTGCTTGGTCAAATGAGCAGTTCTTCATTTTTGAGTGCGCGATTTATAGCACCTTTACGGTAATCACTGAGAAGCGGCTCTAACGCTAATGCAATAGGTGTTTTTTTCTGCTTCTGTTTCTGTTTGACTGCTACCAACAATAAAATGAATTACTTTTACTGTCTTTTTTCTGGGTAATACACTCAAATTCCCCTCCTGAGAACAAAATCACGCCACTTCTGCTATATTTGATGAGATAAAATGATTTTTAGCCATACATTCTTAATAAAAGTGATACTGTTGGACTCAGTGGCCTACTTGTTAGACTACTACCAAAAGTACAATCAAGTACTTTTACTGTGTACTTTTTGAGAAATACCCTGTCAAACTCCCCTCCAGAGTACAATAATGTATGTTTTCTGCCATCTTTGATGAGAGATAAAATGATTTTTTGCCATAAGTTCTCAGTGAAAGTGGTACTGCTGGACAGAGTACTACTTGGACTACTGCCACAAGTACAATCAAGTACTTTTATCGTGTACTTTTTGAGTAATACCCCGTCAAACTCCCCTCCAGAGTAGAATAATGTATGTTTTATGCCATCTTTGATGAGAGATAAAATGATTTTCTGCCATAAGTTCTCAGTGAAAGTAGTACAACTGGACAGAGTACTACTTGGACTACTGCCACAAGCACAATCAAGTACTTCTATCGTGTACTTTTTGAGTAATACCCAGTCAAACTCCCCTCCAGAGTAGAATAATGTATGTTTTATGCCATCTTTGATGAGAGATACAATTATTTTCTGCCATAAGTTCTCAGTGAAAGTAGTACAGCTGGACAGAGTACTACTTGGAGTACGACCACAAGTACAATCAAGTACTTTTATCGTGTACTTTTTGAGTAATACCCTGTCAAACTCCCCTCCAGAGTAGAATAATGTATGTTTTATGCCATCTTTGATGAGAGATAAAATCATTTTCTGCCATAAGTTCTCAGTGAAAATGGTACTGCTGGACAGAGTACTACTTGGACTACTTCCACAAGTACAATCAAGTACTTTTATCGTGTACTTTTTGAGTAATACCCTGTCAAACTCCCCTCCAGAGTAGAATAATGTATGTTTTATGCCATCTTTGATGAGAGATAAAAGGATTTTCTGCCATAAATTCTCAGTGAAAATGGTACTGCTGGACAGAGTACTACTTGGACTACTTCCACAAGTACAATCAAGTACTTTTATCGTGTACTTTTTGAGTAATACCCTGTCAAACTCCCCTCCAGAGTATAATAATGTATGTTTTATGCCATCTTTGATGAGAGATACAATGATTTTCTGCCATAAGTTCTCAGTGAAAATTGTACTGCTGGACAGAGTACTACTTGGACTACTGCCACAAGTACAATCAAGTACTTTTATCGTGTACTTTTTGAGTAATACCCCGTCAAACTCCCCTCCAGAGTAGAATAATGTATGTTTTATGCCATCTTTGATGAGAGATAAAATGATTTTCTGCCATAAGTTCTCAGTGAAAGTAGTACAGCTGGACAGAGTACTACTTGGAGTACGACCACAAGTACAATCAATTACTTTTATCGTGTACTTTTTGAGTAATACCCTGTCAAACTCCCCTCCAGAGTAGAATAATGTATGTTTTCTGCCATCTTTGATGAGAGATAAAATGATTTTCTGCCATAAGTTCTCAGTGAAAATGGTACTGCTAAACAGAGTACTACTTGGACTACTTCCACAAGTACAATCAAGTACTTTTTATCGTGTACTTTTTGAGTAATACCCTGTCAAACTCCCCTCCAGAGTAGAATAATGTATGTTTTATGCCATCTTTGATGAGAGATAAAATTATTTTCTGCCATAAGTTCTCAGTGAAAGTAGTACAGCTGGACAGAGTACTACTTGGAGTACGACCACAAGTACAATCAAGTACTTTTATCGTGTACTTTTTGAGTAATACCCTGTCAAACTCCCCTCCAGAGTAGAATAATGTATGTTTTATGCCATCTTTGATGAGAGATAAAATGATTTTCTGCCATAAGTTCTCAGTGAAAATGGTACTGCTGGACAGAGTACTACTTGGACTACTTCCACAAGTACAATCAAGTACTTTTATCGTGTACTTTTTGAGTAATACCCTGTCAAACTCCCCTCCAGAGTAGAATAATGTATGTTTTATGCCATCTTTGATGAGAGATACAATGATTTTTTGCCATAAGTTCTCAGTGAAAATGGTACTGCTGGACAGAGTACTACTTGGACTACTGCCACAAGTACAATCAAGTACTTTTATCGTGTACTTTTTGAGTAATACCCCCGTCAAACTCCCCTCCAGAGTAGAATAATGTATGTTTTATGCCATCTTTGATGAGAGATAAAATGATTTTCTGCCATAAGTTCTCAGTGAAAGTAGTACTGCTGGACAGAGTACTACTTGGACTACTTCCACAAGTACAATCAAGTACTTTTATCGTGTACTTTTTGAGTAATACCCCGTCAAACTCCCCTCCAGAGTAGAATAATGTATGTTTTATGCCATCTTTGATGAGAGATAAAATGATTTTCTGCCATAAGTTCTCAGTGAAAATGGTACTGCTGGACAGAGTACTACTTGTACTACTTCCACAAGTACAATCAAGTACTTTTATCGTGTACTTTTTGAGTAATACCCTGTCAAACTCCCCTCCAGAGTAGAATAATGTATGTTTTATGCCATCTTTGATGAGAGATAAAATGATTTTCTGCCATAAGTTCTCAGTGAAAATGGTACTGCTGGACAGAGTACTACTTGGACTACTTCCACAAGTACAATCAAGTACTTTTATCGTGTACTTTTTGAGTAATACCCTGTCAAACCAACCCTGTCTCCTAAAAATGACGTTCCCACAGAACTAAACTGCATTCTCAATTACGTTTAGCTAGAAACGTATTTTCTCCCACGTTACGTTTGTTATGAACGTATCTCAAATACGTTTATTTTCTACATATCTTCTAGAAACATATCTTCTCCCACGTTACGTTCGTTATGAACGTATCTTAAATACGTTTATTTTCTACATATCTTCTAGAAACGTATTTTCTCCCACGTTACGTTCGTTATGAACGTATCTTAAATACGTTTATTTTCTACATATCTTCTAGAAACATATCTTCTCCCACGTTACGTTCGTTATGAACGTATCTTAAATACGTTTATTTTCTACATATCTTCTAGAAACGTATTTTCTCCCACGTTACGTTCGTTATGAACGTATCTTAAATACGTTTATGTTCTACATATCTTTGCCATGTATTGCCTTGCTTATAATAATGATAATAGTCATTTATAAATATCATTTTAGAGCACATATTTGAAATCGAGAATCGGGCTCGATATATGGTTAAATTAAAATCAGTAGGCGAGGCTGTAATTTCGGCAGCTGTTACTCTCATGAGCGAGGCAGAAAATAATAGTTTTAACATGACAAAAAGCTGCTGTGTCGTTTATTGCACCTCAAAGATTAAAACAAATCCAGAGTTACGTGTTTCTGTACTTCCTCTAAGAAGAAAGGACAGTAAAAGAAGAGCTCTGTGGCTTCAGGCTTGATCGCCGTTCAAATGACAGCGTTGGTTTCCCCAAAAGTGGGCGGGGCTGTAAAGTGACGTTTTACTATCATCTATTATTCAAAACCATTCTATTTATTCTAACGTAAATTACATGCCAGTGTTTTATCTTTTTATTTATTTGTTTTTATTTTAAATCGTATAATGTCGGACTTTTTTCCCGTCTGTGAGGAAAATAAATGGGGTTTAGAGCCTCAAAATACTGAAATCTGTATTTTTTTAAAATCTTTTCCTTCTAATTTGTTATTCTTTTCTAAATAACACACTGTTATTTACTCAACCATAACACACAATTATCCTTGTTTTTATTTATTTGTTTAATTCTATAATCTTGGGCTTTTTAGCCGTAAATAAAGTCACCGGAAACAGACGGGACATTTCGAGCGATACACACCACAAACCCACCGAACTGATTACCCAAGATCCTCAGCTTGAAGCTCGTTGATTGGATGTTTTAGCCGCAATAAACGCTGGGCTATGGTGTTAATAAGTTGTGATATCCGAAAACGAAAAATAAAATAATACCTAATTCAGAGTGTTCTTGCTTTTCTCTTTGGAAGTCATCACATAACGGCATTGTAATACACGGTTCGGCTGCATTAAATATTATACATCTGCCGTAGTTCTTTATTTATAGAGCCCTGATGAGAAGACTTCTAGACAAACATGAGGAACTGCCGCCAAAACTGAATACTTGATGTGGATCATAAATATATCAACAATTAAACAACATCTTCAATTTCTTTTCACAAAATACGTCTCCTTGCAGTATCAATAGTAATTCGGCTGACTTTTATATTTGATCCAATTGGTAGATAATAGGTTATATTTACACCATAACGGTGCACAGCTGATAGAAAAGGACTTGTAGTTTTTAAAGATATTACTGATTTTCTTTGAATATAAGAATGTAAATACTGAGTTGAGAGAATAGTCAGGGGATTTGGGTGATGGGAGACACATCTATGGATTCAGAATTTCAATAGCGTACCATTAAATGACAGATATACCTTTCTGTCTGTGATGTTTTACAAATCAGATATTAATGTGTAGAAGTAAAACATGTGAAATAATATAGCAATATCCTGTAAAATTATGTAAAAACATGAATAAAACTACACATCTTCAGATGTTATACATACATAAGTGTTCTACACTAATAATACAAAGTTATT